GAAATAGTTACTTTGAAAATGAGTGGATGCTTACATAGTGTCATGGCCAGAGTGCTGAGTTCAGTCCTAAGATTTCCCTTTGGAAAATGACATGTTTCAGGGATCCACTACCTGCTCACCTTGACTCCACTGGTGGCATAGTGCCTTTTCAGGGCAGCTGTGTCTTGAGAAAGCAAGCTCCTTGCAACGTGGTATTTCAAGCATCACCAAATTATTTAAGAGCCACTTTCTTTCTCTGTTACTGAGTTTTTAACCAGGTCCTTCACTTGGGTGACTAAACTGTAAGAAGTCCAAGACAGTGGCGAGGATTTTGTAGCTGCACACAGAAAATAAATCCATAAGATAACTTTGTTATGCTTCAGACCACTTCTGTTATCCTAGTGTTTTCCTCATCTGTCACTAGTGATTTCAGCACTAGAAAGCACCTGGAGGTGGTTGGATTCCCCATGTGTTCTTCACGTAAGAGAGCAGTTTATCAATGTACACAAAAATGGTGCAACTGGTGGAAAAAGGGTTTTGTGCAGCGTTCATATTACACTGAAATTCTTCAGGGAGATCTCTGCATTTTTACAGGCTGTGGTAGAGTGGGAAAATTTGATTAGAGCCTGTAGATTTGAGCACAGTGTGAATATTTAGTAGTGATGAAAAACAGTGACAACCATTAAATGCACTCGGTCTCCCCCTCCCCAGGCAGGGTCACCTCGCTGGCTGCGTGGTCAGTGACGGTGGCCAAGTTCTGGAAGTCTCAGGGCTGTGCCAGGCCATGAGGTGAGTTGAGGCCCAGCACAGGAGGGAGCAGAACCTGCAGGAAAATGTCCTGCAGAGACTGGACCCGCAGGGCTGCAGCAGGAACGTGGGGCACGGTCTGAATGCTTGGGAGAACACCCGGCAGGAGACAGAGATAGGATCTCACCACACGGCCACGCCCTGCTCATCAGCCTCTGCTTTAATTCTCCCTGGTGAACACTGTCCCACCACTCACTTGCCATGCTCAAATCTCCCTGTTTGCCAGGGGGAAAGTGCTGGAAGAGCTGCTCCTGAAAGTTCTTGTGTTTCAGGGGTGGCTCTGCCCCTCTGAAGAGGAAGAGCGATGCATTTTCAACCTTAGAGGCTGAAATGAAATCGGATGTAAATTCATTCCAAGCAAATTTGCTTCCTTATGTGGGTTGCATCTCCTTTTGTCCCTCTTCACACTGAAAGTACCATTACCCATACCTGTGCCTGTGTCACCTCTTCCCAGTCCTGCAGGGGCATCTCCCAGGAGCCTGGACAAGGCAGGAGTAAATAGAGACCAAGGCAGCAAGAAGGGAGAAATGAGGAACATGGGAACTGGGAGAAAAGCAACAGTGTCTGGACAACCAGGAGAAATGTTTATTTGCACCAGTTCTCTTACCTTTTCCCCCAAAAGGAGACCTGCTTCTTAGTTTCAAAGGGAATTTAGGCTGAGCAAGAAAGTCTGGCTCAGTGGTCCTCTGCAGGTGAGGTGGAGATAGGAAAGTGTTTGATGGCAAGTAAGGAAACACAGTTTTTTTAGGTAATTCTGTCACCTTCCCAATTTACCCTGTCTGTCTTGCCTTTCCTTCATAGTCTCCCTCCAAAAGTACCTTAACCCACACCTCCCTGCTGCCTGGTGCCACTAAACTACCCCAAACCACAGTTAACACTCTCCTGCTGTCAAATTAACTTGTTACCACAGGTTTTAAACTTGCCTTCCTCATCAAGAGGAATAGAAATAGCACAAATATGTTATTTTGCCTTCAGAATGATACCTGACAGTGTTTCTTATCCATTGATTTAAATAATTTAGCATTTTAAAAGGAACAAATGGACTTAATTTGTTTTGGGGATACTTAAAGGTTGAGGACAATTTTATATCAACTAAAATCAGTGCTAATTCATTTATGATGGAACTAATGTAATTAATTAGATTGTTGCTGCTTATCTTCTTTCTAATACATACATTGCTTTTAAACATCTGTTCAATAGTCCATTATGATAGCACAGGAGTGATTTTACCTGAGAGCAATAGAGGAGCAGATGCTTCCTGATGACAGCTTCCCAGTTTGTTTAGGAAACAGCCAGTCAGTCCTGGATTCACAGTTTTAACTTGAAGCACGGCAGGCATGCAAGAAAATTTGAAAATCAGAAGCAAAATATTTGAAGAAAAAGTCTCTTCATACCATTTTCAATGATTGCAGTTTGGTTAAAATCCTTTTTTTGGTTAGTGTTGTATATGACATCTTTTAAGGCTGATGTTTGTGTTTTGTCTTTCGTTTTGTGGTGTCTGTACATATGTGGACATATTTGCAGCAATTAACATCCAGATTTAAATGTGATTTCAGTGTTGTTCAGTACAGTAACTGAAATTCAGCATTAGCTCAGAAAGAGTCAGAACAATATAAATAGGAAAAGGAAACTAGAACAATTATTCAAAGACAGAGTTAAAATAGGCTATCATGACATATGTAAAAATAAAGTGTCAGTTTTGCTTTTTTAATATAAGTTATATCTGTGTTTTGTATTTATGGCTTTATCTGTAGCTGGTTAAAGAGTGTAAATGAAGTCTTGTGGGCTGATATAAAACTGTCTGAGGCTTCTTGGTTCTAGTGAGCCATTTGTAGATTTTTAGATGTTTCAAAGATCACCTAAAATGACTGAAGTAGTTTTATTCATCTCATCAGCAAAGTTCATCTCATCAGCTACAGAGATAACATCAAAACTTGTAGGCTATAAAATGTACTTTCTCTGCAAAAATACTGTGGGCTGTACTTGCAGAGACTGTAAAGAGCACGATTGCACATCAATGATGTGTCTTTTTAAATCAGAAAACGTGAAATTGCTGTTTACTGAGAGGAAGGGGGATTAGAGTAGCCCTGAGAAGGATTCAGCTATTTGCCTTTGTGTGCAGGTCTGAAATAGTCACAAATTAGGAATTTTACCATTATATGCAGAATGCAGTGTATGCAGGCAGGTTTTTTTCTAAAGCAGTGGTATTTAATACAGGAACAGGTAGTCTTGCCATTTCCAGAAGTATCTTTTAGGGCAGGGTAAGCTGGTGACTAAGCAGGAGGCAAGGCTGTGGTATCTGATGAAACATTAATGCCTGAGAAGCACCATGTAGGCTCAGTTCTGAGCACAGACTCTTTCTCTTCCCCACCCCTACACACATGAAAACCAGTCTGTAGCTGGGTTTGGTTTGTTTTCTTCTCCCACAGGCTGCTGATGGTCTCTCTTGCTATTCTTACTGAATCGATTTTAAAGAAGGTTCAGCGTCATATAGGGAAGAATTATTTTTTTTTTTTAACCTATATTTTACATATAACTACTGGGTATGACTTGTGTGAGGAGGAAAAGAACTCCCCTTCTTGGTCTGTCACTGATGTATGAGGGAACTGGGCAGACCATGCCTGTCTTTATCTGGCCTGTGACATCAGAACAGCAATCATCGCTGTCCTTTTGGCAGCATGACTTTAGGATCTCCTCCTATACAGTTTTTAAAACCAGGTTAACCCAGAGAGCATGCTTTCAAACATTCAAAATTCTTAGCTGAATTCCCATTCAGCACTTTAGGCACTTGTTTCCCTGGAAGCAAAAATCAACCATTTTCCTGCAGACTTCTAGGATTCACCAGGAAACCTCTGCCCCGTGGCCATCTGTGATCTTCTCACTTTGTGTCCAAAAATGTGTGGGCAGTACCTTGCTCTGCAGCTTCCCAAGGTCTGGGCTGTCATTTGTGAACTTCTGTCCATCTGCCTCAGCAGCATCTGGGTGTCTAATACACTAAATTTGGGGGAAAGTCACATCAGGGAAAAAATAAATAAACTGAAAATATCTTGGGTGTCATCACTGTTAAACTTTGTAATCAGTTTTTAGATTCCTTCATGTATTGATTCATCCATTGCTGACTTGACTAAGGATGTGAGATAAAAATGCAAAATAGCTTTAAATTTCTGGTGTGTTGTATGAACATAGTGTTCAGAGGATGCTGGTTCTTCTTTTCTGCTCAGTCTTTTTCTGTTTTGCTTGGACACATACCATAAGGCAATATTCAGGGTTGCTTGGCAATAGCCAAGTCGTGGAATGCACACCCAACCTGTGGGGCATTATGGTTGCTTAGTTCATGCATGTAAATTTAGGAGTTTGAGCACTGAACAAGTCCACACCCAGAGTGTCTTCTTGGAAAGTTTGTTCTGATGTTTAATCTTAATGGCATTATTAATTTAATGGTTCCATTTTCAGAGACATTGAGTTATGACAGCTTTTAGAAAAATCCAAACAACTGGGCGCTTAGCACTGTTGGAATATTAATTTGAAATGTTGTGAAATTTGTGATGCAGCTGGGGTATATCTCAATGCAGTTAGTTTCATCTATTTTGATTTGTTTCAAATCTGCCATAAACTTTAGTACTTTACACCTGGAATATACACTAACAGGGAAAAAAAAAACCAACTCTCAGTTTTATTGTTACATTTTATGTTACTATTATAATTACACTATATGATATATTTTATATTATTAGCAAAAGCAACTCCTGGCAAAAAGCCTTTAAAGAATGTAGATCAGAGGATTTTTTGGTGGATACATTTGATTTGTCTTTTGGCAAGCAAAACCGGATTATTTAAGGATACACTTCTAAAATGGTCTATACTGAACGTAATGAGGAGAGGTACAGCTGTAGTCCCCCTTATTGTGCCAGTTACTGTGCCATGAAGATTTTAGAGACAGCCTTGGTGCAGCTTAGAAAGATCTCAGTTCTGGAAAGGCTTTGCAGATAGTTCACAGTTTGTGGAAGGAAGTGTGTAAGATGTCCTCGTAGGTTTTGGACTTCTCTGATTTTCTTGCTAGCGTTGAAAAATTCCCTTGTGAGTTTGCACGGGTAGTGCAGAGAGAGGGGTGGTTGGCATTATTTCTGTTGTGTGCACTTCTGGAATCTGTGAGAATTTCCCTGGGTACAGAGGCAGAGGTTGATGTGTTGCTGTGCTCTCCTGTGTCATTGCAGGAGCCCTCGGATGACTCTCAGGCCGCCGGCGTTTGCGGCACAGAAGAAGTGGTTCGCTATGAGTACCACGTCCTGTACTCCAGCAGCTACCAAGTGCCTGTGCTGTATTTCAGAGCGTGCTTTTTGGGTAAGGCCAGCCTAGACTCAATGTGCTGGGTGCTGAAAATGTTGAAAATTTTGTATTAGGTTGAGGAGGAGATGTAATAAGAAACTGAGAGATGAGGCTGCTCACCAGTGAATTTTTCAGTGCTCTGGACTCAGGACCGTGGAGAAGATGATATCATCTCAGCCAGAGGGAGGCTGATCTTTGGCTCCTGGCATCTTGCCTGTGGTTGACTGAAACTGCTGGTCATTTTTCTTGTTCTTTTCTTGAAAATGACTACAAAAACTAAGTGCTTCAGGTTTAAACTGGGCTGGGCAATCAGCGGACATAACCACAGTGCTTGAGCCAGTTTGAGCCACATGGCTGGGGTCTAAATATGTCTTTTAAAATTTGCTGCTTAAGGGAAAATAAAATAATACTAATATGATATCGACTTTTTTTTTGTATTGGAGCTGGCTCTTGAAACAGTCAGACTGTGTCTCCTTCCCTGGCATGTACATCTTGTTACCCACTGCTCCGTGGCTGTGGCCACTGTGATTTCAGGCCTCATCCTGCCAGGGGAGGAAGGAGGAACGCTCAGCCTCCCACGGAGGCCACTGTTGGTGTCACTCATTTAATCAGCAGGCACAGAGTGATCACACTGCAGCACTGGCTGTGCTCTCTGTTCCTCGCTGCCCCAAGCCAGAGTGCCTGTGCTCCAGTGGCTTGTTCCTGCAGTGGTGTGGCCAGCACGACCAGCTTGTGGCACCTGGGGACAGTGTTTAGTGGTGAGCATGGCTGTACTGGGTTAAGGCTTCAACTCGATCATTTTAGAGCTCTTTCCAACCTAAATGATCCTATGATCAGCATCTTTTGTGTTTTGAATAATATCTTAACTTTATCTAGATAAAGATGTCTGAATGTTGCCAGTGATATCTTTTCCTTTTTAATTAAAAAGTAGCTTAAGCTGCTTTGAATGTGTTTGGTAGATTTAATCACTCTCTGCCTTATATTGTTTAATGGTTTCTAATTTTGCAGTGTTAGCGTTTCAAAAAGCACTTCAGATTCAAAACTGAAGAACAAATTCTCGTAGGCTCCCTGGTGGGAAGATTTTAGTCTGAGGTGCAGTTTCAGGAATAGACAATTTGGGGTAAATTATCAGAGTGGGACATGGGGAACTGGGGACATTGCTCTGCCTTTACCACCACCAAAACTCATTTGCACACATCCTGTTGCAAATTTATTTCCAGCATTATTGCAGGCATTTACAAACATGCAGTGTTTTGCCTTTGAACTTATTGTGCAGACAGGAAGATAAAGGTAGTTTTGCAGTGAGAGACGGGTTAGCCTATTTGTGGTCCTGAAAAATGTCATCTTCTTGATTTTTGCTGAATTTATAGTGCAGTGCCTCTACAGAAGAGGACTGAGACGCTGCAGGTAGAGGAAGTAGGACAGTATCTCTACTGTACTGTACTTCCATATAATTAGTATTCACCATAAGCAGTTAATCACCAGAGAAGAGCTCACAGAGACAAAACAAGTTGTTTAGCTTGTCAGCACCAGGGAATCGGAGGTGTTGAAACATGACTCCTTATAGCTGGAAGTGGGTATTACAGGAGCCAGTGGATGATCTAATGCACAATCATGGTATCATGTGCCAACAGCTCCCCTTGCAGTACAGAGCTGTAATTGCTCCTGCAAGTACAATTATCTTTTAAAATACTTCTTGGGAACCTTTCACAATGGAAAACAAGGGCTTTTTTTAGATGCCTCCGAAGGTCACCTGGGTTCTCTTCAGCATTTTACATTCTCTTTTAAATTATAACAAAATCTGACTCTTGAAGGGAGCAGGATACAAAATGCTGGCAGTAAGTGTGTTTCCTACAGTGTTACCAGCTGGTATTCCCTGATTTTAATTATGGGCAGCTTACTTTTGAAAATGAAGAATTCTGTCTTCCCTGCACGTTGTTGGTCTGCCTGTGCTGTGCTGTCTGAAGGTCCCAAAGTGGGATTTTGGGAAATGTACAGCTGGCATGTGCTCACAATCACTTGAGATACCAGAGCTTTGTCTTGTCACAAACCTGCTGTGAGGAAAACTCTGGGAAATGCCCTGAGTTGGTTTTTTTTTGGTTTTTTTTGAGGTAATAGTCCATGTGATGGGCTCCTCACTTTGTCAGACAATCAACAATACTCACCACATTCCTCACCTGAGCTAATCTAGGAGCAATCTCCCCAAGATTTACCTCAATTTCCCAGTCTAAATTCCTACCATTATTTGTAGACTCAGTAACAGGAGGGGTTCCTCACAAGTCTCCCGTGAGCTGCTCCTGGTTCCCCTGGGATCCTGCCCGTACTGATCCCAGTGCTAATTAGAGCTGGCTCTGGAGGTGGAGGTGAGCTGTAATCCTTCCATGGATTGCCCTGTCTTGCCTTCCCCAGCACAGGGCACAGAGCTGGAATTCAGAGCTCTGCTTCCTCCCTGGCATTGTCTGCAGTGCCCATCACACCGGGGAAACAATCATTCTTCTGTTCAGCCTGGCTGAGGGCTTTTGCAGTGTTCACTTCATTCCTTTGTATAACAGCAGCTGATGCCAGCCTGTCCAAATCTGCACTCCAGCAGACACTTTACAGACTTCTCTTGAGTGATGAAATCAATGAAATCCTGCCTTTCTCCCACTGCATGTGAGTGCAGCTTCCATTTACCTGGTGTCTCAGTCCCTCCTAAGAAAAAGGCTCCCTGTAGAGTTGCTGGGGGATTTTCCCATGATCTCCAACTTGGTTGGCATCCTCAGGAGCTTGTGCCAGTGAGAGATCCAGTTTTCACTCCTCTCTGCTAGAAGTTATGTTCAAGCATTACAGATCACTTCTTCCTGCAGAAAGGAAAAAGTTTCATGGTATCCTTGTCCTTGCTGCTGTCTAAATTGGATGAAATATCTTACTTTCTTGAACTCATCTTTAGACCTTTTTTTGTTGTTTGTGAGATGAAGTTTGCTGCATAAGGTGGTGTAAGGTAAGGTTTGAAATTTTGATTGCAACAGAGCTAAAACATTTTGAGCGACATCTAAACTTTTTTTGTAGTCTCAGGGGATGGATTTACAGGCAAGATCTTGTTCTGTGCAAGGACAAATACTTCAGTTCAGTGAAAATAGTGATTAAGCACGATGAGACTGTCTGGAAAGGTGTTTGGGAACATTAAAGGGTACAAGAGGATATTTTTAGGCAGTGTGTATGTACATAAGAAACATTTTTCACTGCCTCATGATGCTTTCCACGTGGCGTATATTCCTAATTTCAGACCTGCTGAAGTCACAGTGAAGTGTCAGGAGCTCAGGGCAGAGGCTAATTTCTCCAAAATCAGCCCCGTGCCTGCCATACCGACCAGAAATGGAGCCCTTCTTTCTTTCCCTGGCTTCTGAGACTACCAAATAGGTAGTTGAAGAAATGCATGAACCCCTGCTGATATCTGATGTCAGCAATTAGCCCTCTTGGAGACAGATGGTATAGGCAATTATCCTTCCCCTTCAATGCTGGCATCAGCCAGATGGGCTGAGCTAGGTCCAGTAAGCTTTCTTTAATCAGCAGAGTATTTTCCTCTTTTCCTAGTCTTTAAGATGTCAAGGAGCTTTGGTCTTTCCCTGAACCATCCCCTTCTGAAGCCAGGCATTCAGAACCCTCTTGCCATACGTTAGAAAACCCACGGCGAGGTATCAGCAGCACAGGTGAGCACAGGCAGCATCCAGGAATCACCCCGTGTGTGGAGATAATAGAGGCTCATCTCACACTTCTCCTTTTTCTGCAAAGGCAGAGGAAGCAGCATGAAAGCTGGCTAAACACTGAAAAGAAAGAGCAGGACTAATGGGAGTCAACAAGGACTGCACCCTCACTCCTCTGGAGAGGAGAAAAGGAATGAGGTTTTCAGGCTGACCTGTTCAAAATACTCTCTCAGCTCAGTGACAGCTAAATCCCTGCCAATAAAAACCATGCTAATCAGTGGTTAGAGAGAGGGAGCTTCTGAGATAGGGCAACTTCCTCCAGCCCTGAAGGCATGACTTTCTGTATGCACAGCCACACTGGGCCTGACTGAAGTGCTTTCCAGAATACAGATTTACTTCCTGAGCTCCAAAACATGTAACCACCATGTCCTTTCTCAGAAGCACAGCTGCTCTAAAGACCATATCCTGTAAGATCTGGTTTTATTGTGGCTTTGGACATAACTGAAATGGATTAATTTTTATGATCATATATTCTCTTAATCTGTACCAGTGTGTTTTTCTCTTTTGGCAGTGGTTTCTTAAAATTATTTCCATATAAAATACATCAGAACAAAGCCTCCAAACAATTTGTGCACCATTCAGCCAAAATGTCAAATAACCTTTAATTGAAAATCTCAGAAATTGCTAAAACCTTTTAATTGGGAATTTCTGAAGTTCCTGAAAGTTTATTCGCCAAACATGAAGAAAATAGAGCACAGCAACTTGGGAAGCTCGAGAATTTTCTCTGAAAATAAATAGGCAGTTTTGTCTGCGTAAAGAATTTCTGCTCTTTGCAGAAATTAAGGTCCAGCTGAGAACTGCAGCTCCTGTGTGGTCTGACAGCCTCACCTTGCCGCTGTGAGAGGGCACTCAGCATTCTGCCTTTTAACTATTTCTTATTTGTGGTGACATGACCAAGTTAACCCCAGCTGGGCAGTCAAGAAACTTTTCTCAGAAAAATTTGTTGTAGGCTGAACAGTTTCAGTAATAAAGCTATCCCAGCTGGGTTTGGGGATAAACCTTGGGACACACTGTGTCCTTGTGGGTGGATGGTGACTAAATAAATGCATAGATGGGTGAATCTGGAGCCTTCACCCTCCTCTCCTGCCCCTCCTCTTGGCTTGGGGCTGCTGTTTCCTTCTCGTTGTGGCTGAACTTCCCAGTTCAGCTCCATCCCAGGGTGAAAAGGAGGCAGGAAGGCAAGAGGCTGCTGGGCTCAGCAGGTGCCACAGTGGGCCCTTGTTGCCAGCAGCAACAATTACCGACTGCTCTGTCAGACCAGCTGGATGTTTGAGGTCTCAGTGGGTTGCAAGAATGTGTAGCAGGGCTGCTAGACACGTGAGGGTGCTGGGAAAAGGGGGTAAGAGTGCCCAAAGAATACAGATGTGTGTTTAGAGCAAGTCTGTGAGCTCGTGAATAGAATGAATTCACCGTGTGGTAAAGACAAAACTCGATTTTTACTATAGCATGGTTAATATTTCAACAACTTCTGGTCATTTCTAAAAATGTGATTAACAGAGTCAGAGCAACCCATTCCACGTGTATGTGAATCTGCTCAGTGTTATTATAAAAATTCTCAGAGAAAAGTGTACAGAGCACAGCCTAGGGTGGCAAATCAGATGTTGCACTAGAACGTGTGTTATTGTAGATTTTACACTTGGACTTTCTCCACTGAGAACAAAATTGCAGATATGCATGGCATTTCATATCACTTGCACACAGATCTGAGTGTAAATACGTACTTCAAAAATAAATTTATGCTGTTGTAGCAAATTTCTTTGTGAATGTTAGACTGTCTCCAGCGCAGCTCTGGTATCTGTCATCACAATTCAGTGGATGTGATGGTCTAACAAGGCTTTGTGAGGACAGCATGGAAAAGCTGATTAATATGCTGTTACCCCTCAGATGCTTCATTTGCCACCTGATTCTGCTATATGGTGCTTGTATAAGTTCAGAACTTTGTGCTTTTTTATAAATATGTGCAGAAAATAAAACAGAGGCTGTAGGCAGCTGGTTTGAACTTCTGTCTAAACATGGCATTCAAATGTTAATTGTGTGAATAAATCTTTTTCATTTTACAGACATACAAATGTCAGTAGAATAAAACTGATTATCAGAGGATGATGGTTTCTGACACTTGATAAATGCCAAGATGAAGCTACTTATTGAAAGTCTATCGAAATCCTCTGTTTGCCATAAACAAATATTCATTAAAAATAGACATGCTTATTTTCTATGAGGTTGACACTAATATCTTGGCATAATGCTAGCATTGCAGCTGAGAACCTGATGCAACAATACTAAATGCAGCTCAAGAAAACATTGTGGACACACCAAAATGCAGTAAGCTTTTATCTGCAGAATTTTGTTCCTTAGATTTTCTCCACTCTCTCACTACAAGTTGCATATGTTTACAGTAGTACAGTGATGTTATTTTGTGGTTTTAAATCCACCTAATCAAAACTTTGTTTTACAGAACTAGGTACACTTCACACCTTGCAGTCAGCACAGTGAGTTGTTACTCTCAGGTGACAGAGCAGAAAACTGTACAGGGAATTCAGGGTGCACCTTCTGTCAGGATTTGAACAGTTTTTGGTTCTAATTTTGCTGTTCTGTATTAAAAATACAGCGTGCTTAAGAGCTTTGGCTGAAGGTGGTTGTTTCTTCCCCCAGATGGAAGGCCTTTAAGTCTGGAAGAAATATGGGGAAGTGTTCATGCATCCTACCAGGCTCGTCTGCAGGAGGGGCCCTGGGACACTATTACACAGCAGGTGAGAATCCTCTGCTCCTTCGGGAAACTGGGAAATGCAATATATGCCTGGATCCTCAGTGGCCTTACCCCTCTCTTGGACAGAAGGAAAAAAAGAATTAAAGTAATAAAATATGTACGTATGTCTGTATCATGTTGTGCTGAACCATTTACCAGCAACAGTTTCAGTCCTGGATCTTGATGGATGTATAAGTGTTTATGATTTAAGGCTTGCTTTGACAGTACCTCATATTTAAAATACTTCTCCAAAGCCAGTCCTCTGAAATTCAGGCAGTTTCTGAGTAATTGTGAATTTGGGTAAACACAAAAGCAGACTTATTTACGTAAATAAAACATATCAATGTAGCATTTCACGGATTGTCTGGTAATCAAATTACCAAAAAAGACTGTGTGTAATTTTCAGTTTTAAATAGGCTTGTGGTGTTCAGGACTGAACAAGGGAAAATTGGTTTCCTATCCAAAAATAAGTTGGTGCTGTCTAATAGTGCCACATGGCTCAGAGCTGAGCTGCTTGCTCTGGTGTCTTCCCTTTGCTCCAGGTCTCATGAGTAAATCTGATGGAGAATTGAGACTCTCCAGGTGTTAGTTCCTTTCGCCATCAGACCAAGATACCAGCGTGTCCTCCGCTGTTTTTTTTCCCCTTCCTCCCTTCTTTTTTGGATTTTAGCTGTTTCCATGCCACAGCAGCGTGACAAGGATGTAACATCCACCGAGTCCTACAGGTGCTCCCTTAATTCAAATAACACAGTTTAATTACAAGATGCCTGTTTGGAGACGGTGCTCAGCCATGGGAACACGAGCAGCATTCTTGTTTTTGCAGCCACAGACTATTATTTATCTTGTAACAGCTTCCTGAGAACCTACCAAGCCATGGGTGTCCTGGTGATTGCTTGTGCATGTCTGAGTTCCAGTTGTGAGCTGGCAGGTTCTTACAATACACACTTTTCACATGGAGCATTAATTACCTGGCTCGTCTGTGAGTGAAGATGAGGAAATTGGGTTTTAATAACATAATGTAATCATGTGACACTACTGAGAATAAAGCATAAACGGGATGTTTGGAATGTGTGAAATCAGAGTGGTGGAAGCCAAAAGGAAAATCAGGTCACTCCCACACAGGGATTATTTTTGCTTCTTAAGGGACAGTAAAATAAAAACTGTCCTGCATCTAATAACTGGAGGTGTATGGTGGATAAATACACACAAATTCCTGCAAAAAACAGGAGTTTTGGGTGGCAGAATGTGTGGAGTGATGAGTCTGTTTCTGGGACACTCTCCAGAGGTGGTACAGCCAACTATGAGTGCAGTGACAAACACAGGAAGAACATTTTGAAGAAATTAGCAGAGTTAACAGCTGCAAAATGTGACTTTCTGTTAAATAAGGAGATTATGGAAGATAATGAAAACTAGCCTGCAAGCCTCAGATCAAAGCAAGAGTCAGGTCTACAAGCAAAAAAACTGCTTTTCTCCGTCAAATGAATCAGGGTTCAGAACTGAAATAGGGAGTTTTGTCTTGCCTAGCTGCTTTTCTGCTGACCCATTTTGTTATGTGGGTTAGGCTTTGCCTGCAGGGACACAGATCCTATAATGCAAGTCACTGGGCAAGCTCATCAAATCAGGCTTGAGCACTCGGTACACACGAGCAGCAGAGTAAAAAGGTTTAGGATTTTAATCCAAAAGAGATACAAATTTTAGATGCTACAAGCACTCCACCACTGGGAAGAAAAACTGAGCTTGCCAAGGGTCCATGCATGTTACTTAAATTTTAACTAAATTTTTACTTACATTTTAACTGAGGCTGATTTGCAGTGTGGTTGGCAGACAAGGAAAAGAAAGGCTTGCTGACTTTTTGGGACTTTTTTCCCCAAGTATTTTATGAAATGAGGGTGCCAGGCCTGTGCACATTCCTGATACAACTATATTTTGGTGTATACTCTCTGTGGTAAAATACATCCATGGTAAAATACATCTCAGGAACTGAGACAAGCTGCAAAGAGTGGAGACATTTGACATTTGCAAATTTTAGGTAAAATTTAGATTTTTTTTTTTTTTTTTTTTTTTTTTTTTTTAGTTACTTTTGATTACGGTGGAAAGTTGTGCTCATTTCCAGAGAAAGCATCTTGAAATATTTTTCCTGACTAGATTACTGCAAAAAGCAGAAGCCAACTAGTTACCTTCTCATAAATAAATTAACATGATAAGGTTGCATAGTATTTTATAATGATAATTGATAAATGGTGATGATTTAATTGCACTTCCTCTAGTAATAATCTTAAAATGCTCAAATGAAGTTCCTGTGATTGGCTTTCTTGTGAGTTAAATCTCCCTGGGGTCTTCAGTCATCCCTTCTCTACATCCGGCGATAACTTGCTTTAGCTGTTTTAAATAATACAAATCAATTAGAGCACACAGCTGTTTAACAAAACTTCCAAATGTTGCTACAGGTCTCTGTGGGTATTTCCTGATGACTTATAATGACATCAATTTAGCACACCTGGTAAGATCTGTGTGAGCTGGAAGTGGCTTAATTCTGCAATGACAGGAAAATTAAGGAGTATTTATGGATTGCTGTTGCCTTCCAAAAATGTTGCCAACTGTGATTTTCAGCTTCTTTTTAGGAGTATTCAGAAGTGGAATTACAGATATTGCAGCCCTATCTCCTGAATTGCTTACTTGTAACTTGGTGGATGCTTTTTATTGTTATTTATATATATTATTAATTGAAATACCATATAAACATATATTATATGTATGATGTATAATATTTGTATTATGTATTATATAAATAACATATATGTTATTTGTATTAGCTATACACAGATACAGATATACACAGATAGTGGCACTGCCTAAACAGCTCAAACTTATTGGGTCTTCTGTGTGTAATAAATGTAATAAATGGCAGGTGTAATGTCCCAGTTAAGAAGGCAGCAGCCCAAAAGTGCCACAGTCAAATGCTAAGTGGTGTGGGAAATTGAGAGAATAAAACCTCACAAGAACAGGAAGAAAGTTTTTTTAAAAAAAAAACCAAAAACAAAACAGAGAGTGGAGAACAGAAACGAGACAAATGGGGAGAAATCTCCCCAAATATGAAAGTGAACAAATTTTGTCACATGGTAGTGCGTGGTGTAAGAGCCAGGAATTAAAAAAAAAAAAAAAGGATAACTAATACTGAGTTAATCTGTAGAGGTTGCATTTGATCTTTTATCATTTTAGAAACCTCTCTGAAGATGAGTGGGAGATGTGAAACAGCAGAGAGGGACTCTGTGGTTATGGACAGAACTTCAGGCTGTGTGGCCTTGTTGGGTCCTCTCTGTGGAGCTGGAAGTGAGAGACTGAGAGGCCTTTTTTGTTAGGATGGGTGTGGGATAGGCATTGTCAGGGCATGAGTTTTCATCCTGGCTCTGGCTGAGGGCTCCACACCTGTTTTGAAGTGCCTTCACCAAGATCCAGGACACTGGTGTAGCCTTCACATCCAGGAATTTTCCAGAGAGTGTGGAGTGATACTGGATTGATGGATACAGTCACCTGTTAGGAGGTAAACTGGCCCCCACTGATTTCTCAGGCACCTTTTGAAATTTAACAACACTGGAATAAGGGATTGAAAAAAAAAAAAAAAATGGGTAAAGACACTACTGATTCTTCCTATTTTTTTTTTACCCTGGTGAGTATTTATAGAAGTGTAGACAAAGCAGAAGGACTTCAGCAGGAGGAGAGACAACACTCTAACAAATGTGTTTCTAAGACTATGATGAAACTGAGTATTAATGTAATTAATTCTATGAACACAGGTGCCCAAGTCCACTTTTGATTCTTGTTACTGCTCCTAATCCATGCCTTCCGTTATTTTTTTTTGTGTGGAAACTAGCAAGAGAATTTTGTAATGTGATGAATGAAGCTGATCACAGTCAGTAGCATCACCAACAATTTTGATTTTAACAGAGTGATGTTGTCATAAAGCCTGACCTTCCCCTGAGGAAACAAAGTCGTAAACAAAATCAAGTATATGTGCTAAGGCTTAATCAATGCTTAGTGATGATGGAATGTAAAACCAAACATCCAAGGATAGAAATCGAATTGCATTATTACAGGAGGCTCAGGGGCTGAGAAACTACCCCATAAAACAAGAACAAAACTTGGTGACTTGAAGAGCCTGCAGAAATAGTCTTAAAAATTAATCTGTGAGTCAGGATTCCAGAGGACTCTGGAAGCTGTGGAGCACATGTGTCCATACATGGCTCCTCTCCTTTTTAACCAACACTGTTCAGATGCAATTACTTCTGCTACCAAAGTGCTCCCAGCCATGGGAGGGGACATGTTTCATGTGTGACACCTTGATGCTGGATTTGCCAACAATAACTCACCATTTTCCTGGTTTAGCCATTTACTATTGGTGCAGATAAAGTAACTCAGACCACTCTGATACTGACTGTATCTTATGTTTCTGTGATCAGGAATTTTTCATCTGTTTTTTTCTCAACCGTTCACTTCTCAGTTTCATTTAAACAAGGTGTTTTTCTTCTGTCATTTCATACTTAGCAGGTAGTTTTAGTATTTGTGTCATATTTCTGTCATATCAAAATTGTTATACCAAATCTAAACTATGAAAATCACAGCACAGATCTGCACTTATTTCTGAGTTAATCCAGTCTTTTTCAACCAGGAGTTAGGAATCTGGAGGACACATTCTTTATAGTACCTCAATAATCCTGTCCATTACATCACTTAATTTATAGCAGTGTTAACAGAAAAATCAATAAACATTATTTCTAAAATGTCAGGGATGTTAATAGTGTGATTTAAAAAAGGAGAAAGAGTCAAAACTCTGAACAGAACACGTTGATATAGTGTTGTAGAGGCACATCTTGCTGAAAATGTGATAGGGAGGATTTAAATCATTACAGCTCAGTCATTTTGAAAAATGTGGTAAGGTAGCTATTCTTAGACATACAAATCTTTCTTGCCATATTGTGGGATTTTGCTAAGTGGGGGAGGCTGTATACAGTATTTCTTAACAGAAGGTTGCTAGGATCGCTCCTAACGAATTTGAGTTGCATCAACAGTTGCTATGGATCCCCTGCTAATATTTTTGGAAAATTATTAGTACAACTTCCTGAGAAAAGGGAGTCTTACCAGTAGAGGCTGGAATGCTATTTGACAGGGGGAAGTGACAAGGATGGCAGAGATGGGTGGGTATTTCCCACTGAAATCCTCTGTGCTGTGTTGAACTCCTGGGGTTTAAACCAACCTGTAGTATTGTACAAGCTACCAAGGAGGTTTTATTTTAAAACCTGCCACTGATTAATAATGTTCACCTGCCCTACAGTTTAGTCATGCTTTTCCCCATGAGATTTCATGGACAATAATCTAATCCAACTGATTTCATAGAGGGGGAAGACCAAATAATGAACTAGTACTAAATGCAGAGTAAATACAGAATTTAATGGCTAAGCAGCCGACAGATGTGCAGCTGATGGCACCTACCAGGACTTGTGCAAGGCATTTCACACTGTCTGACATGACATCCTTGTCTGTGAGTTGCAGAGCCGTGGGTTTGGTGGATGGACCCCTGGGTGGGATGGGGCTGGGTGCTCACACTTGGGGTCAGTGAGTCGATGTCCAGGTGGAGACCAGGGACGAGTGGTGGGACCATGGGGAGCTCATGGAGCTCGGCAGGGCCTGGGTCAGGGCAGTCCCAGGCACCAGCATGGGCTGGGCTGGGCAGGAGGAGCAGCCCCGGAGGAGCCCTGGGAGCCCAAAGGTGCCGGGCTGGGCCCCAGCGTGGGCAGCAGGGCAGGGGGGATTGTGCCCCTCTGCCCCTCAGCTGAGACCCCACCTGCAGAGCTGCCCCAGCCCGGGCCCGGCACAGGGAGCAGCTGGAGCTGCTGGAGCCGGCCCAGAGGAGGCTCCAGGATGAGCAGAGGGACGGAGCAGCTCTGCTGCCAGGAAAGGCTGCCACAGCTGCCATTGCTCAGCCCGGACAGGAGAAGCTTTGGCCTCGGCTCCCTGTGGCCTCGCAGGGCCCGAAGGAGCCGCAGGAAAGGTGCAGAGAGAC